ATCTACGTCCATCTACTGGTGTTGTTATTGGGAGGAACGGGAATCGTATGGTCACGGTTCTTGACCTCGAAGATCTCTCAAGTCACAGACGGCATGTTGATCAGGTCGAATTCAATGCTAGAGGTCAGTTTAGCAACAATACGTCTGTCGCTTCAAACACTAATGACGTTTCTGATTCTCTTACAGATGGTTCTGATGAGCATGAAACAAACCCTGAACCTGGCAATCCGACGTTGAGAAGTTCTGAACGTTTAAGGTTCCAACCTATTAGAGACTATAAACACCGGCCCGCCCATTCAACGTGTGGTGGACGTGGTGAACATTGACTCCATTCTATCCATTCTGTTTGGTGTATTTTTATATGCCTTTGTTTACGATGCGATACGTGTGGTGGACGTGGTGAACATTGACTCCATTCTATCCATTCTGTTTGGTGTATTTTTATATGCCTTTGTTTTACGATGCGATTGATGGTACGCCCGCGATATACGAGAATATACGATTTTCATTCGTCCATATTCGGACTTCTATACTACGCGTACATTCGGTAGTTAAGATACCTACCACTATTCTAATTATCACAGTCACACTTCCAACGGACCTCGGTGAGATCAGAAAAAGTCTGTAACACGGTGCTTTCCATATAAAGAAATCTGAACCCCGGGATTGTTACTAGTGGAGCGCGATCTACAAACGAAAGTTGCAAAGTCGCCCTTTGCCGTCTAAGTATACCATCGTGTGACATGTTGCAACATTCTTGCGCACGAATACGGGTACTAGCTCTCACATCCCTTCCATTTACAATGAAAACGGAAGCCCTATTGCAGCATCGTCCTCCCAACAACATTTCCACACAAGCCCACACTAGCTGTCCGCCAGAATGCAACCAATCTAGGTTAATCTCATATGCTACTTATGGCCGACTTCAACGTCCCTCCATTTGTAGGCTAAGTATCCATCGGGTCCGCCATCAAGGGCAAACTCCCAGACATAATCCACTCGGTGCACCACGGAATCCACTTGTTACTGGGGTTCCAAAAACCATCCCTGGTCTGTTTCGTACCGATGAACAAGAAACTTATGACGCAACGTAAAAGCTAGCCATGGTAGAAGTGACCACCTATTTCTCGCATTTTTCTCAACCAGAGCAACACAAACTCTCGTACTAGAATCAGAATCAATCACTTAGCAATTCATGAGCTGGCACGGGCTGACGGCTGGGGCTTTTTGAAGACGCTACCATCAGATAACGCGTAGTCAACCCTCACGCATCACTTTGCACCGCTGACCAACGCGGTGTCGGAGAAGGAAGTTTGTCATAGCCACGTTGCCTTAGAGACGCCATCCTTCGCAGGACACCGAAGTGGATAGTCAAGTATGACTTGTAGTGTCTGTATTCCGTTGTCACATTTGCCATTCTTTGTGAACTTGAACCACACTTTGTAACCGTCGTTCACATTGTATCATGACGTTTGTTTTAATGTTACGAATACACGATTTTCCGGGGCGACCTGCTGACTTCTTGCCGAACGGGTGTATTTACGCTCCGCTGAACGGTTTATTGACTGCTGAGCCAGTGGGACTAAATCTCTGTGCTTGTGTCAACTGTTGAACGTCACAATAAATCCCTGTGACATTTTTTAGCCGCGCATAATTTTTCTACTGTGGGATATATCACGCACGCGGAACCATCTGTGGGAAATTCCGACAAGGGAATATTTCCTCTCACAGCCAGTTACTGCATTTGGATCGGTGTAGTGGACTATTGGATCTACACATTCGTGAGTCCCCATTTGACTACTCATTCCTTTCCTATTGTGATTTTGTGATTTTGTATTGGTTACTTTGGTTCTTCATTTATCCGAACACGCTGATAAGTTCCTAGTCCGCTGCAGGCTGCTCTCGGGGACCATACGAATCTTCATAGGGAGGCGAACTAGAACGACTGCGCTCTCCTGGAAAATCACCGTACCACCTTTGCCCTCAGAGACAAGAATCTTCCCTAACGGTCGCTTGCTACATAAGCTACAGTGGACCTGGAGCTTTAGTGCCAACGCGTCGACCGACCGAGGAACCGCAGGGCATCACTCCGCTTCATGAAGCGTTCTTTGAAGCCGGCGGCAGACACGACTGAATTAATAATCTTATGCCTGCCACTGCACCGCACAAAAGCATGGCATCGTTCACACCATGTATCCTGTTCCCTGAACAAAAGGCTTTATCCCGCTGTTGGTGGGACAATAACTGAGAGCCATCAAGCACAATATTTCCGCGGGTATGGACAACATATTGGGGATATCAGCATTCCCAAAACCGTTTATTTTCCAGTTATTGCCATTTTTCTAGAAATCTGCGACTTTGAATTTCGCGCTCTTTCCGTCATGTTTCACCTCAATCCAAAAAGACGTACCTCTTTCCTATTGGCCAATTAATTGTTCCTTAAGGTCGCTCCCGCTGTGCCTAGCCTTTGGGTGAGACAGTGGTTGCCCTCCTCTGAAGTTCTGATCTACTTATTGCTCTGCTCTAAAAGTGGCCGGACTCACGTCGTAGCTGGGGATTTGTGCGCTCGTTCTCAAGTCGCGTATAGTTTTGATCGTACCCGTTTCCAATACATAACACAGCACAGCCCAAGAACCCGGTCTTAGGCCGAAAACATATCCACGCTAACTTACATCCAGGCTCCCTACATGTCAGGAGGGTCCGATTCCCGAAAATAACTCTAAGATGCCTGAAACCAAGCTCCGCCAAACCGCCGTAGAGCATTCGACTAGAAAAGCCGCATTCTGATTGGACGCTCGATCATCCAGTGAGTTCAGCGGGGGCCGGCGATGATGACTGTTAGCCCAACGACGATCGGACGGCCTGGCTTTAGGGTCGATAAGTCGCGTTAAATACTGTGAAGACTCCTGTAATTTTTTGCACTCGCCATTTTGCAGTAAAGATGTCCTGTTCCTCTTTGGAGCAGCGACTGCGGCTAGTTACACCACACGATGGAAGCAAGACGTTACCACACCAGTATATGAAGCGAGGTTGATGGTCTAATACAGCCAGCTGCCGACCGACCACATTTCCACAGGTGGCGGGAAAGCTCAGTGGTTAGAACGCGGATTTACTGACCGGAAGGTCCGTGGTTCGAACCGATCTCCATCATCATCATTGTCAGCTCTAAGAACCGCCTATAGGCGGTCTTACAGTGGTTGCAGCTGCCACAGTTTCGGTCGCTGATGATTTGGGCAGGTGGGGTAGATAGCTGCGCATTGGAGGCGGGAGCTTACAAGTTGGTGTGCAAATGCAGTGTATTCAGTGGACTGTGAAGTGGGGGGTTTGGAAGGGAGCTATACAAAAAAGGCAATAGCTCGGATGCACGAGGGCCATTGAGGGTGCGACTTGGCCACGTCTGACAATGTCGCTAATCGCTGATAATGCACGTCTCGGGATCCCCATTCAGGAAGATGGTAATGGCCAGCTCAGCTGAGTTTTCTGGTACTGGCTTTTTCACTTCGCTGTTAAATCATTGACCCCCGGCTCGTTTCCACCCTTCACGTGGTTATGCGGAAAGAATCCTTAGAGGAAGTCGGTCGACAGGCATACGAAACACGTGGCCAAGCCAGCGCACCCTATGCAGTGTGATCACTTCATCTGTCGGGGGTAAGTTATTTCTTCCGAATACCATTCGACTTCAGCATTGCTCATCCGGTGTTCCCCTTAGACTCGGGAAATGCTCCGAAGACATCGATGGTCAAACACCGAGTCTTTTGACGTCCTCGGCGCGCAGCGACCAGGTTTCTGATCGTATAGTAATATGGAGCGCGTTGCAGAATTGTAAATTCGAGCCTTGATGGATAGGTCGATGTCACGCCTGCGCTACAGGTGGCGCAGGTTCGCAAAAGCTGCTCTGGCCTTCCCAATCCGGATGGAAATATTATCTTCCGCGAGACTATTGGGGATAACGCATCTGCCTTGGTTAACAAATTTCTCATCTACACCGATCAGTTCATCCGCAAGTATGAGGCTAGGGTTTGAGCCCACCCCGTTTTGCAGCAGGGAGCGTGATGGTTTGGTGGGTAGAGCGCGAATTTATTGGCCAGGAGGATCGTGGTTCAAATCCGACCCCTGCTTCTTCACTTCCCCTGTGTAGGGTTTGCAACCTGACAGTATCTGAACTCTTGTGTTTCCTTTGGGTGGCATAGCAGTTGCGCGCCGAATGGTTGTTACAGCTGAACGATTTTTTTCTTGCAGTAGCACTTAATACTTTGCTGTTGTGAAGCGCATGCCATACCGTGTGGCGGAATATTTAGATTATTCAATAAAGAAGCAATGCTTTCAGCTTTCACAACCGTTTGTCCAACCCAACTGACTCGACTCAATGAACACTAGATATCTTCGAGATCAGCAGATCTTATTTCTGCCGGAAAGGTCGTACCAGCAACTAGCGACTATGATGGCGCACGCAGACCTCTCAAACACCGGATAATCAGGAGCTTTGAGAATGGCAGCTATCAGTGGTGGATTTCGAATGCCCAAGAGATGGAGAAGACTTTCGCTGCAGGCAACAGCCGCGCCCTGTTTCAACCGATCCGATCAACGGGTCAAAAGAAGGCAGGTGTTAGTGAGACAATATGCGAAAAAGGCGGAACAGCAGATTACCCCCTCAATCGCCGTCTTGAACAATGGGCTGAACACTCCAAAGATTAGTGCACCTGGTCTCCTTCAACACAACCGCTGGAAGAACCAAGCGGGCCCGCATGGAACGTTGACCCCAACCCACCATGAGCAACTGAAGTTTAGCGTGAAATTACAATCCTGAAGTGCGCCAAGACACCGGGCCCGGATGGTCTACACCCCGCGCTCTTCAAATAACGTGGGGAGGTCCTGGTGAACAATCTGACAACCATACTGCAGAAGATCTGGAACGACAAAAGCATACCAACCGAAAGGAACTCCTCGACCGTCATCCCATTTTTTAAAAAGGGAGCGAGAACTCGTGAGGATTGGTCTACACCCCGCGCTCTCCTCATATAACGTGGGGAGGTCCTGGTGAACAATCTGACAAGCATACTGCAGAAGATCTGGAACGACAAAAGCATACCAACCGAAAGGAACTCCTCGACCGTCATCCCATTTTTTAAAAAGGGAGCGAGAACGTCGTGAGGATTGGGATTACAGTCGAGTCACCGGCATCCTGTTTTTGTCCCAAGGCTGTCAGACTGCTCACCAGGTCTTCGCCACCTTTAAAAGGTACGGGATACAAACCATCGGGGCCAGGTGCGTTGTCAAGTTGAAGGAATCATGTCCCACGCTGAAGTTTTGCCGCTGACGACGGACTGGTCCCGATGTTCTATTCCAGTTCCTTGGGTTCTTCCAAGGATTAGGTTGAAAGAAGCCGGTTGAACTGCTCTTTAAATTGTTCTAACCATCGCTCAAGACAACGATTTCGCATGTGCATTGCCATTGCATCTCCTTCGCTGATTGTTTTGCTGACCCCATTGTTCTTTCTACCGATTGATCGATTCAGCCGACATAAGGCGTGGCTGTTGCCTGCAGCGAAAACGTCCTTTGTCCACGAGGCCCTCGAAATCCACCAGCATTTTCTGCCACTCTTCAAGCTTTTGATTATTCAGCGTCCCAGGGTTTTACGTGCGCCATGATAGTCGTTAGTTGTTGGCAGCGATAAGATCTGTTAATCTCGGTGACATCCAGTACTCATTTAATCGAGTCGGATGGCTTGGACAGGTAGTTCTAAAACCTGAGAGCATAGCTTCTTTAGCTCATATCTATTCAACCTCGAACCAACCTTCAGCAGCAGCGTGACTGTGCGTTCCCAGTATTTTTCCAGCCAAATCAGTTGGATGCTGATGGCTTTGACTAAAACTCGTCAAAGTCGAAGTTGATTTGTTTCGGCGTGCTTAAATGCTGATGGGAAACCAACTGATAACCAGTCCTGCAAAATGACATGATTGGAGTCTATTCGTGCATTCCAGAAGGAACGACAATCTTCAACTGATTTTTTCACCAGTAATCTATTACCGCATGATCCAACTGAGTCCGTGACTGTCGTGCAGTTTGTGGCCTTCAAGTGAGTCAATTAAAGTATTTGTGTTGAAGTTTCGTGCTGACTATGAACGGGCGATCTTCAGCACACAACTGAAGAAGTCACTTTTTACTGTCCATATGCTGATCTTCTACTCAAAATCTGTCACCTTATTGTCCTTCTTTCGGGATCAGTCGTTTAACCTGGGCAAAATACCCTTCAGGATGACAATGTTCGTTCTTTTTATTAACCAAAGCCGTCGCGGCAGATCTCAGTAAAACTCGTCCTCATCGGATTCACTAATTAGTCTTTCGGGACCTACGCTGATATGACAAACGAATATCGTCTGCCACATATACCTGCATTGATAGTAACGGAACCGGAAAACTATACAGCACAAAGACGAGTGCTTACTAGGATTCGGTCTTGGGGCTGAGTGTAACTCCCACGCCGCATACACCACGAGCCATTGTGTCAGGACCAGTGTTAACTCGAAAAGTGAAATGTGGAACATCTTAGCTCGTCCTAGGCGGTTCCGAAGTTGCACGACCGAAATGGGGTCTTTTATGCGTGTTTCGGCGACATGGCATCATCATCGACAGCGTGACATTAGCGTTCAAAACCGATGCTTCGCTGCCGTACAATCATGATTTATTTGAAAGCCTTACTGTGAAGAACAACAAGGACGCCAATGATATCGGTTGGTAGCCATGTATTGTAGTGCCTCCAAACGGGCGCAGCGAGGAGCACGCGGTCCCTATCCTGGAAGGCGAGTAGCACCGACTGCACCTAAGCGTCTCGTGATCTCCTTCGTACTCCTCTGCCAAGTCAAGGGTTGGCCCCCTCTCTGTTTACGCCACTCCGAATTGAGTATAAAAAACAGCACTCTCTTCGCAAACGATGGTTCGGCATACGCAACCCACGTCCCAACCAACGCAGCTTCAGGTGCTGGACACATTTTTCAATGGAAGTACCCGTTGCACAACCGAAAACGCGCTTTCTAACTGCCTCATTACGGATTCGCAGACACTAAACCACACGAGCTATGGTTCTGAGACAACGATCGTCGAACACCTGAAGACGTCTCAGTTCCGCTGCCCGAACAGGCTCAGTCTCATAGCCATACACTAAAACAGCCGTACTGTAGCTTGATACACACGTCTCTTGAGATTCAGAGGTAAACCACTCTGACGCCATGGGTGTCTAAAGTTAGCAAACGCGACCCGAGAC